AAAAAATCTTTGGGTTTGTTTCCCAAACTTAACCCAAAATGTGTTGCTATCAGTTCATAGCTGATGGTAGGGCTTCTGAGGCTGTAAACCACACAGGAGATTACCCATCTGTCTTCTAAAGAGCTTCTGGTAGATTTAAGTTGCCCGAGAGGAGTTGCCAGTGGATTCGAACCATCAGTGAAGTTCAGGCTTTGTGTTACAACATAGCTTCCTATGGCCTGGGACACCAGAGGACCCTTTCTGAACAGAAACTGCTTTTTAAAATGACACTTTCAAACCCTGTTTGTGGAAGTGTATACATGTGGATTGAGTGATGGCATCATACAAGTTGTTATATGCTGTCCAGTTACCTGCTACTCATAGCGACCCTGTGTACAACAGCCTTAAACCCTGCTCTGTCCTGTGCCAATCTGTTGTCACTGACACACCTGCCTCCTTTACCCCAGTCACTGAATCATATGTTGTTTGTTGTTGATTGCCTTCGAGTTGAGCACGACTCATAGTGACCCTATGAACAAAAGGCCTGAAGCCCCTCTACAACTATCAACATTTATCAACATTCATAGAGTTTCCAGAGACATGTTATTTAGGAAGTAGGTACCATTCCTGCTTCCAAACCTGTCATAGTATGATATTGTTTGAATTTTCATGATATGAATGTACCCAGAAATCAGCAAAGCCCTGGTCTCTCGCCTCCTCCCCACAAGCCTCAGAACTGACTTTTCACAGCATCAGTGCCTTGATCTTGTGCTTGACACCAGTGTGACTACCTTGGAAAAGGTCATGATGCTGGGAAACGGGGTCAATCAGAAGACTTTAGAGTACTATGTAAGATGAAGCTTTATCATCTTTGCCTCCAAGGAGCACTCTGGCTGCACCCTTTCCACAACATACTTGTGTATTCTTTTGGCCATCCGTGGGATGTTCAGTACTCTTCTCCAACACCGCAGCTCAAAGGTGTCAACTCTTCTTTTGCCATCCTTAGTCATTGCCCAGCTCTCAGATGCATAGCAAGTGATTGAAAAAAAAATCCACAGCCTGAACCAGAAGCACCTTAGTCCTCAAACTGACATTATTGGACTAAAAACATTTAAAAACCCATCATTTTGATAGACTTGCCTGCAGTCCTGTTTATGGGGTAGAGAGGTATATGCAGATGAGCTGTATGTGGAGAAAGCCCAGGAGAAGTGACACCTTTGAATCAGTGTGAGAGAGAAACTCTATTGGACTTGCTGCCTTATATCCTTTACCACTGAGATAATTCCTCCATGACTTCTTCTGAATACTGTTCCATGTATAAGAGTCACACGTAACATCCGAACTGGTTTCCATTGAGTTGATTTTGACACATGAAGACTAAGTAAAACTGCATTTCGGCAAGCTCTGGTGACCTAGTGGCAAGAAGTTGCACTGCAATCCCAGAGGTGCGTGGTTCAAGTCCACCAGATGCTCTGCTGAAGATGGAGGAACAACCGCCTCTTGTACGAGTCAGATCCGATTTGACGGTACACACATATAAAAACAAAACAAACAAACAAAAAACCAAACTGCATTTCGTGGGCCTTTTCCTGGCTGATGATTTTGGGAACCATGTTGTCAGGCCCTTCTTCTGAGGCACCTCTGGATGACTTTGAACCACCAACCTTTTGTTAAGTTGTCAAATGCATTAGCACCCCATTTGGGGCCACTTTAGTCTTAAATAGATGCTGGCCTTCTCGGAGGGACTGGGCTGGGTTTCTGGTGCACCCTTGATGGTGGAGTGACTGTGGGATTTTAGTAGAACAGCTGGAACACCGGGTCCTGGTGCACTCGGCAGAGCGGCCCTGGTGGTCTCCCACTGCCCTTTCCAACCCGATGACCACACTCCCAGTGACCATCTCATCCTTGTGCTCCCTCTCCCTCCAGCCTAGGCATCCTCTACGGCTTTCTGGCCAACCACCACATCAGGACCCACATCAGGACCACGCGAAGACTCGCAGACAGCAATCTCAGAGACCTGCGCAAGTTCCTGAATGAACTCCCGGAGGTACGAACATGCCTCCATCCCCCATCTTGCCTGTCAGCCCCTTCAGGGTTCCTGAATGTGGTTGCAGTCCACTCGGACCTTCTAGAACACCAGTGTTGCATCAGGGGGCAGGCATTACCGCTGTGGATGAGGAAATGAGATGATTCTGTAGATGAGGAAATGAAGGCTCGGTGAGTGGTTTCCAAAAGAGTCAGAAAGTCAAAGTCATTGCTGTGGTGTCAGAACTAACTCATAACTGATCCCCACTTGTCGCTGTCCATTTGCTGGCAGGGAACAGTGACACCCTGATGGCAGTAAGTGTGATGGAGACACACCTCTCCAGGAGCACTGCAAAGAGCCAAACTCAACTTTATTGGGAGTTGCAGTGAATATATATATATACAGGCGAGTAAACAAGAAGACAGGACGAGGTGGGATTGTAGACGTGGGACATGCGGATTGGACAGGAGAACCTCAGCTCAGTGCAGACCACTCCCAGCTCAACAGATGAGGCAGGCGTCTTGGGCTTGCACTTAGCTGAAGCTAGGCGATCTGACCGGGCCAGAGGCCTCCCCCTCCTCCCTAGCATTCCCCAACACCCACCTCCCTCCCCAGCAGGTTTCTGAGGCTGTAAAGAGCATGGAAGGAGGTTCCCACCTTTCTCCTGAGGAGCAACTGGTGGATTTGAACCACCGAAGAGACCCAGCCATTGACTTAGTGGCTCAGCCCTCTAGCGGCTGTGCCCGGAGCTCCTCCTGTCTGACGTTCTCAGTTCCTTGTGCAGGGTGAGGTTTCACTTTCCCTGTCTCCACATAAAAGTTCATATGGTGTTCTCACCTGTCATCATAAACTCTCCAAGAGAAATATTTTGCATATTTCTTTTTTTCCCACTTGAACGTTGGCAGAAGTGGAAGAGCCAGAGGCTGGTGGATGTTTAGGGGCCCTTGTGAGTAAGTGTGAGTGGATCTTTATCTGTCATCACTTTCGGAGAAACAGACATGGTGGAAAATATTTGAGAAGGTGGAACCAATCTTTTTAAAAAAAACCACAACTGGGCTTAGAAGGTTAATAGACCATTAACAGATGAATCATAGTTTACAAAATAGATTCAAAGATGTTGACTCTTAGTTCAAGGAGCCATGTTAGCACAGTGTTTAACTGGTCAACTCTAATCCGGAGGCTGGTGGTCCCTGCCCACTAGGTGCTTCTCAGGAGAAAGACCTGGCCATTGTTGTTATGTGACATTGAGTTTTCCAGAGAGTCACGAGTAGATTTGAACCCCGTATCTTTGGGTTGTCAGTGCGACACCTTATCACTAGGCCACCAAAGCTCCATCTGTAAAGATTACAATTTAGGAAGTCTTACAAGGCAGTGCTACTCTGTCTGTTAGGGCCCCTGTGAGTCTAGATAGGGACCTCTGGTGATCCGGTGCATCCCAAAGGCATATGGTTCAAATCCACCAATTGCTCTGAGAGAAAAGGATAAGAAATCTTCCATGTCTGAAAACCTGCTGGAGGGTTGGCTACCGGTAAGTTCTGACCTGACAGCATACAACAACAACAAGAGTCCAAATTAACTTGGTTCCACCTCAACAGGATGGATTGACGTGGTTACTGTAACCGTGGCCTTGAGCACTGTGGAGTGTGAGTCTGGTACAGGATAGAGGATTCAATCTGTTCTCATAGGGACCCTGTGAGTTGTCGTCAAGTTGGTGACACCTGGTAATAGCAGTGCTCAACAGCCTAACTGTCTTGCTGTAGAACTGGGTGATTCGAAAATGTGAATAGTCAGAACTGTTAAATCAGGAAAAGTGATCTCTCTCTTTCGTTGTCCTTGAGTTGGAACCAGCTCATAACTGATCTTCCAGAGACTTTTTTAGAGGCTGTAAATCACATGGAAGGAGACGGCCCATGATTCTATCTGTGAGCAGCTGGTGGATTTGAACCACCAATCTTTGGGTTGGCAGTACAGTTTCTTTATCACTAAACCACCAGAGCTCCCTAAGGAATATAGCAATTAAAGACTGAGTGATCTCTGGGGTTGCAGTGGGTTATTGTTGGACTGATGTTTGAACCTACCAGCTGATCATAGGACAAAGCGAAGGCTCCCTTGGACCGTGATTTGGAGTCAATCTGACAACCTTGAGTTATAAAAAAATGGTAGCTCATGGTACCTGGTGGCCCAGTCTATAGGTAACTGCTCTGGTATCCCAAGGTGGTGCCTCTCAGGTACTTTGAGTCCACCAGTGCACTCAAGGCGGAAGAGGGGCAGTCTCTTCCCATGCGATTTAGAATCTCAGAAACCCACTGGGCGTTTGGCTGTGAGGTGGTTCTGTCTTGACAGCGGCGGGTTTGAGTCTGAACGTTGAGCATGTGGTGTTACCAGAGAGTGAGGGTAATAGTCCATGCGGTGAGGTCGTCAGGCAGTGAGGAGCCCTTCAGAGCTTCCGTACCCACCACGTAGTACCACGGGTGGTAGACTACAAATGGCTTCTCTGTGGTCTTCCCAGCAAGAAGTGGATCTCCTTTCTAAGCCCCAAAGCTGAGTTGTCCATGTGCCTTGTTCTGACCAATAGAAGCCAGTGGGCGTGACCTCGTGTTAGTACTGAATTCACATTTGCAGGCTTTCCAGTGCCTGCTCTTCATTTCTCTGGGACGACCATATAAAGATGTGCATGTTAGTGGCTCAGAAGATGAGAGACCATGTATAGAGACCCTCACCTGCCCAGGCCTGCCAGCTCCCGTCTGAACACCCCAAGGCCCGTCTGCAGAATCCGAAGAAATAACAAATGATGTTTCCAGCCAGTAAGCTTTGGAGTCCTAGTGAAAACTCTGTGTCAGAAAATGTAATCAACAGTAGGAAGGCATTTGGAAGAGTGAACTGGAGGTGGGATGTGGGATGGCCAGGGAGAAAAGTGCAACAATAAATGAATGCAAATCCAAAATCTCTGTAAATGTTCTTTAAAATGAATAATAATAATAATTTTTAAAAATGTGATCATCTCTGTGAACTTGATAATTGTTGGATTTTTTAAAAAATCTTCTGTTTTGCATTCAAGATAAGTGTCTTAGAAGAGGAAGTTTAATGGAATTTATTTTCTTTTTTAAAAAGCAAATGGACTATTTAGTGAGCCAGTACAACACCACTAAGGACAGAGCAGTCTTGGATCTGGACCGTGAGTAAATTTACTGTTGCTTCGTGCTTTGGGCTTTGTGTTTCGTTAAAACATGCTGTGGCTACTACCGATAAAATAGATCTCTACATGACACTGGAGGCCAGGAGGAAGAGGAAAAAAGGTCCCTAGAATGTGGAGTGAGCACACTTGTTACTCAGGGAGCCAGCTCAAGCATTCATTTTCAGAACCTTTTTTGTTTTCTTGTCATAATGCTTGTTCTTTGTTTCCCCAAGATTGGTGATCTTCTCTCTTGGGTCGTCTGTGAAAGACTGGTGGACTTCCCCAGGGAAACTGGGATGCCCTTCCACGTATGGCCACAGGGACTGGCACACAGCCTCCTTCTGCTGGTTCTCAGATAACCATTTTTTAATTTGCTGCTTTGGGCATGCTTCCAGGAGGGACCAGTCATATGATAAGGACATTGGAAAGGTGGAGGGACAGCGCAGGAGAGGATGACTCTGGATGAGATGCGTGTACACAGTAACTGGAGGGTCAGTTATAATAGGGTGAAAGGGTCAGGTGTGTCAGAGATGGTGAGGTTGGTTCAGGATACAGCAAAGTTCAGAGTTATTATGCATAGGGTTGATAGGAGTCCCAGTCAACTTGACGGCACAGAACATTCCAGACAACGTTGGGCATGTCTGGGGGCCATTTCTGATTGTCACAATGTCAAAGAGAATGAAGGATTGGACAACTGACATCTGTAGGTAGATATCAAGGTCTTACTAAAGATTCCACAGTACACAAGATCCCCTCACAGTGAACCTTGCCCCGTTGCCAGCCATGCCAACGCTGAGAGCTTGAATCCCTGAAGGCATTGGCTGGTAACACACTCAGCTTTTAACTAAAAGGTTGAAAGTTCAAGTCCTTCCAAAGGTAGCTCAGAAGAAAGGCCATCTAGTACAATGACAACATCCCTCTGGGTTTGAGATGGGTCAGAGGTGACTTGATGTCAAATGGTTTATTTTTTCAGTTGAAGAGACTAGAGATTAGGCGGCTCTGGCTCAAGATGATGACTCTGGGGAGCTCTGGTGGCCTAGTGGTAAGGAGTTGCAACTACAATCCCAGAGGCGCACGGTTCGAATCCACCAGATGCTCTGCAGGGGAAGGAGGGACAATCTTCTCCTCTACCAGTCAGATCTGATTTGACGGTACACTCATACAAAAATAATAAAATAAAAATTAAAACAAAAAAATGATGAATCTATGTACAGTGCCAAGCGTGGGGGGATGAATTTCTCATCCGCAGCGTCTCACTGAGCCACCGTGGGGATATTGAGGAGTGACACGAGATCGCCACCCCAGAGTCCAAGCTTGGTATAGAGCTTAGAATGAGAGATGGGATTGTCGGGCAGAGGGACAGAAACACGTTTCAGGTGTTGAGGCCCTGACCTACGAAGTGAGTGTGCACTGAGAGATCAAGCGAGCAATGATCCCTCCCCTCACCATCTCTTCTCCTTCTTTGAATCTAGATATTAAACCGTTACTAGGAGGCAAGATTCATAATAGACTAAGACCTAAAGTGATCCCTGTTCTTGATGACATCAAGGCCATGACAATAGGTAAGCAGAGAAAGGGGCAGCCCAGAAGGCCTTGGGTCTGTGGGCTCAAAGCCCCTTTTCTTTTCTTTTTTTTTAAATTTTATTATTATTAATTAATTTTAATAAACAAAAGTCCCTTTTCTTGTTCTTACTTTTCTTTCATGTGGTTTGAATGAATATTTAGAAAGCACATTGATTTTCTAATTAATCATTCATGCACATTTTATTTTATAAACAAACATTAACTGTACTTTCAAAAATTGTGCTTTTAATGAAAGTTTACAGAAAAGTAGAATTTTCATTATTGCACATGTCCCTCCCTACTACTGAGTTATTTAAAAAAAAAATAAATTCACTGATTATTGCATCATTTCCTCCCTCCCCTCTCCCCCAATCCACTTCCCTAAACCCCAGCAACAATAGCAAAGTTCAGTAGGGCAGCAAACAACAAATGTTGACAAGGTTGTGGAGAGACTGGAACTCTTATTGCCTGCTGGTGGGAATGGAAAAAGGTGCAGCCACTGTGGAAGGCTCTCTGGCGCTCTTCGGATAGTTGGAAACAGAAATACCATTTGACCCAGCAATTCCTCTACAGGGAATATACCTGAAGAAACCAAAGCTAGCTGTGGTTTACTAATGTAATTTATTAAAATGCCTGATCATCCCCTTATATACTGCTTTTCTCTCCCCCTTTTCAATGTTTGTGTTATCTATTTATTTATTTTTCCTCCCTTACCGTCCCTGGTAACCATCTAAGAATGAATGCTTCTATCTATGTATAAACCTTCCCTTAGCTTTTATATAATCTTTGTCTTATGCAGTATTTGTCCTTTTGTGACTGACTGCCTTCACTTAGCACAATTCCCTCTAGATGCAGCTACGTTATGCAGTGTTTTGTGAATCTTTTACCATTTAATGTTGAGTAGTACTTCACTGTATGAATGCATCACAGTTTCTTTAACCATTTTCCATTGATAGACCCTTGGGATTATTTCCATCTCACTTCTATTGTAAATAATGTTGTGGTCAATAATGGCTGCGCATAGATCTGTCCATGTGGCAGCTCCTCTTTCTTTGGGCTACGATCTAGTAGTCAGATTGCTGAATCAAATGATATTTCTCCTACATGGAAAAGAAAAGACTTAATTGTCAGAAAAGAAAAAAAATGATATTTCTATTCCCAAATGTCTAAGATAGTGCCAAGCTACCTTCCATAGGGGCTGCACCGTTTTACACTCCCATCCTCAATGGGCGAGAATTCTGATCTCTGTGTACTGTTGCCAGCATTTGTTGTTTGCTGTCTTACTGGACATTGCTGGTTATTGAATATAGCTCATTGTGGTTTTGATTTGCACCTGGCAGCTAGCCAGTGATCATGAGCATTTCTTCATGTGCCTGCTGGTCATCCAAACATGGTCTTTGGTGAAGTATCTTCTCATGTCCTTTCTTCTCATTCTGTATTTGTTCTTTTTTTTTCTGCAATGTTATGGATTTCTATAAGTTTTAGTGATGGGTCCCTTGTCAGACATGTCATTGCCAGACGGGTTTTTTTGTTGTTGTTTTTTTCTTCTTTTTT